GGAGTTCAAGACCAGTCTAGGCAACATAACGAGACCATCTCTACAAAAAATACAAAACTTAGCCGGACATGGTGGTGTGTACCGGTAATCCCAGCTACTCAGGAGGCTGAGGTGGGAAAAGCGCTTGAGCCGAGTAGGCGGAGGCTGCGGTGAGCCAAGATTGCGCCACTGCACTCCAACCCGGGCAACAGAGCCGGACGGACCCTCTAAAAAAAAAAAAAAAAAAAAAACCACAGAACATAGCAAGCGTTGGCAAAGATGTGGGGGGAAGTTGGAACACTTTTATACTGTTTTAAGGAATGTAAAATGATCCAAGTGCTATGGAAAACAGTATGGCAGTTTCTCCAAAAATTAAACATAATTACTGTGCAATCCAGCAATTCCACTTGTGGGTAAATACTCAAAGGAATGGAAAGTAGTGATGAGAAGAGCACATCCATGTTCACAGTAGCACTATTCACAATAGCCAAGAGGTGGAAGCAGCTCAAGTGTCCACTGACAGATGAGTAGATTTTCAAATATGTGATCTACTCATACAATGGAATATTATTTGGCCTTAAAAAGGAAGGAAGTTCTTACCCATCCTACAACCTTGGGAACATTATGCTGAGTGAAAATAGCCAGGGACAAAAGACAAACACTGCATGATTCCACTTAAATAAGGTATCTAGAGTAGTCAAATTCACAGGGATAGAAAGTAGAATGGTGGTTATCAAGAGCTGAGGGGAGGAAAATATGGGGAGTTGTTTAACTTTTACTTTTGCAAGATGAAAATGTTTCAGAGACTGGTTGCACAACAGTGTGAATACGATTAACAGTATTGAATGTATATTTTTAAATGTTTGGCAGGGCACAGTGGCTCACGCTTGTAATTCCAGCACTTTGGGAGGCTGAGGCAGGCAGATCACCTGAGCTCAGGAGTTTGAGACCAGCCTGGCCAACACGGCAAAACCCCATCTCTACTAAAAATACACAAATTATCTGGGCATGGTCCCAGCTACTCAGGAGGCTGAGGCAGGAGAATCACTTGAACTTGGAAGGCAGAGGTTGCAGCGAGTTGAGAATGAGCCACTGCACTCCAGCCTTGGGGACAGAGTGAGTCCTCTGTCTTAAAAAAATAAATAAATAAAATAAAAAAAGGCTAAGATGGCAAATTTTATGTGCATTTTATCAGAATTTAAAAATAAATAAATACTGTATGGGTCAAACAAAATCACTGTGTGAGCTAAATGTGGCCTGAAGTTCCCCAACTTTGAGATTTCTCAACTGGATCTTCTATGAGGGCTCTTCTGGCCACTTCACAAGAAGCTCCAAATGGTGGTGTCCTGAAGGAGACTGAACCAAAGGAAGCCATAAGCTGGTAAAAGCCAGAGACTTACCTGCTACTGCTGAGCGTCTACACCTGGGTAACAACCTCTCCATAGACGGTTGTCATTTGGACACCAGAACTTTGCCCAGTGCACCCTATAAATATACCCTCCCAGAGGCTCCTTTTCTTGCCCACCTCTTCTTGCCTCTCCCAACCCCTATCTTTCTTCTGGTTGCCTTGGTTAGGGACTGTGAAAGACTGCCTTTTACAACTTTCTGTGGTAGAATGAGGGTGTTGGGTAGTGCCATGGTTCACACCTTTAATCCTAGCACTTTGGGAGGCTGAGGCGGGAGGATCGCTTGAGCCCAGGAGTTCAAGATCAGTCTGGGCAAAACAGTGAGACCCCCATCTCTATAAAAAATATGAAAATTAGCCGGATGTGGTGGTGTGCGTCTGTAGTCCCAGCTACTTGGGAGGTTGAGGTGGGAGAATCACTTGAGCCCAGGAGGCAGAGGTTGCGGTGAGCCAAGACCACACCACTGCACTCCAGCCTGGGTGACAGAGCAAGACGCTGTCTTGAAAAAAAAAAAAAAAAAAAAAAAGTTTTGTATGCCTGAGCGACAGCTCCTATCCCCAGGGAATGAGGTTCAACCCTTCCCATCACTTACTCCTCACTCTCGCTAAGAAAGAGGCCCAGGTAAGAAGGGGGAGTTCCTACAGGCCCAGGAAGGAATCTAGGAGTCTGAGGCCTCCCTTACTGCCTCTGGTTCCCCCCTGCCCCCAACACCCACTCTCCGAGTCCTTCTGGGCAATGAGCAAGATCTCATCCAACTTCCCCAAGCTGATATGCCCCTCCCAAGCCAGGAGTCCCTTGGAGTTGTCCTTAACTTTCCTATGTCACGGCATATGCCCTTGCCTGGGTCTGCTTCCACCTCCACACAAAGCAGGTTCAGCTTTAGGCATATAAGCCTTGCATGAGACAATGGATCAAGATGGACTGCAGACAGGACTGAGAGGCAGACACCTGTATCCAGCAGAACCAGAAGTCCCAGGGACCCTCTGCCTCCTGGAAGGCTACAGTGCAGGGAAGCATACCCTTAAGGCTTGGAGCCAAGCCGGGTCACTGCTAGAGGTGAAAGGGAGGGAGGTGGGAAGGGCTATATCTGGGAGCCAAGCAGAGGGGCAGATGACCACATCCTAGGCCTGCCCCCAGCTGCTCCAGAGAATGGTAAGGGGGCTTGGCTCCACCTAGGCACACCCAGACAGGCAGGTGGGAGCTACCATTTGGTCCCTGAGATTTGACTAAGAATGAAAGACAGGGAAAGATGCTGCGTTGCTCTAGTAAACAGGATTAAATGTTGGCAAGGTGGGAAAATGAAGATTCTTTTTTTTTTTAAATTAATTTACTTTTTTTTTTTTTTAAAGTGGGGTTTCACCATGATGGCCAGGCTGGTTTTGAACTCCTGACCTCAGGTGATCCACCCACCTCAGCCTCCCAAAGTGCTAGGATTACAGGCGTGAGACACCGCGCCCGGCTTAATGAACATTCTTATGCACCTGAAATACATGAAAATTTGGAGACCAATTTGGCAATACTTAGTAAAGCTGATAACTTAAGAAAAAAAAAATTGCAGAATGCCCAAGATGATAGCATTTATGTAAACCTGAAACTCATAAAATGGTACTGTATGCTCTCAGACATAAGGATTTGCTGCTGCTGTTTTTTTTTTTTTTTTTTTTTTTTTTCTGAGACAGAGTCTAACTCAGCCACACAGGCTGGAGTGCAGTGGTGCGATCTGGGCTCACTGCAACCACCATCTCCTGGGTTCAAACCAGTCTCCTGAATAGCTGGGATTACAGGCACCTGCCATCATGCCTGGTTAATTTCTGAATTTTAGTAGACAGGGTTTCACCATGTTGACCACGCTGGTCCTGAACGCCTGGCCTCAGGTGATCCACCCGCCTCGGCTTCCCAAAGTGCTAGTATTACAAATGTGAGTCACCGCGCCAGGCCAGGATTTACTTCTAACATCACATTTATATGAAAGTATAAAAACCTGAATGAAAAGGAAACATGCCCCTGCAGGCATTATATTCTTTCCTGTTAAAATGAGAAGATGTCAGCAAAATAATTTGCAACCATGAGAAACAGTGGGGAGATGATAATGAAAAACAAAGGGAATTTCATTTTTGTTATTAAACTGGAAGCAAATATGACAAAATAGTCATACCAGTAAGTCATCTTAATTTTTAAAATCTCTTAACAAAACAACCAAATCCCACACAGATCCGCCCACAAAGGGAGGCCACAGTGAAAGAAGCCCCCGCCTTCACAGCGCAGGGTTACAGACAGTATACGGGCTAACCCCGCCTCTCAACCGGAAGGGAGGGCATTCAAAAGAGGAATTTAGAGAAAAGGAGGGGACGGCGGCCTCGGGCAGGGGTCGGGGTGGGAGCCCCACGTTGGTCCCCACCCTCCCCGAAACCAGCAGAAAGGCCTGCGGCGTGGCACTGCCGTCTCCTATTAACAGTTACACGGCCGAGGCTTTCCGCTGATTGGTGGAAATTCCGATCTTCTGATCCCTGATTTGCATAGAGACTGGGGCCTGCATCCCCCAACCAACCTCTCGATCGCAATCGCAATCGGCGGCATGCGCTGCGCCAGGAGCGTTCTGGGCTCGGCGCTGCCGTCTTCCTGGTCGTCTCTGGGAAGCTGCTTCCTTCCAGCTGCCTGGGACAGCTTTTGTGAATGCCTCCCTTCTGGATGCTGGAAAGAGGACTGACCCAGACGCTGCTGGAGACTGGTCCTTTCCTTCCCACCTTAATACCTGGGAAGGCCCCCTTCCACCTTGTCTTCCCCAGGGTTTACAGGAGAGAGAAGCCTAGCCTAACACCCCCATCTACCAAAGGAGCTCTCTCCATTGGTCACAGCCCTTCCAAGCATACACGTGCAAGTAGTTAATTGCAAGGTGTGCTGTCTGGTTAATTAGTACCTGTCAGTTCCTTGCACAGGGCTGGGCATGGGTAAGTGTGCAAATTCACTGGACATGTATTTGCACACCTACTAATATTGGGAGAAAATAATGGTGAAAAAGTGGTCTCTGCTTTCATGGAACTAATGATCTGGGTGGGGAGATAGACAACAGAAAAAGGCCCCAAAATAAATACTTAATTTATAATGTGATTCATTGCTAGGAAGGAAAGGCAAGGAAAGCTGGCAGAACAAATCATAGGAGCTCTGGCCCAGGCTGGGGCAGGTGTTCAGCCCCAGAACCGCCTTAGTTCCAGGCCCTCGGAATGAAGCCCCCAAGCCCATGTCATCTTCTGTGCCCTGCTCTTACCAGAAGTCAGGAGTCTTTCCAGAGGCTTCTCACCTAGATCTGACGCTCCCTGCGGTACGGACAGGCTCTGCTATGGCAAGCACTCCACTCAGGCTGGTTTTAAGCCAAAGGATTCAGACAACTTCCATGTATCAAGAGTGAAAGAAAAAGAGACTAAATAAGGAGCCTGCCACCAAGACTTTTTGTAGTTATTTCCTCAGAAAGCCCCATGCCCCATTTGTGATAAAATCCATTCCTGAGGACATATTCTAGAAGAAAAACAAGATCCAGAAATTTCCCCACCAGCATCATTTTCCAAAATGTAGGCAGAAGTTCATCAAATATAATTTATTCAGGAAAAAAAAAACACATTTTAAGAACGTACCCAAGACAGAAAGAGCCCAGTGGCTGAGCAGAAAATAGCTTACTATGAGGAATACCAGGTCAGGGCAGAGACTTCCTAGCTGGGTAAGGCATGGTTTAAGGGAAGACTCCACCAGCCCTGCCAGGAAAGAGCAGCAGGTACGGTGCCCCTATGGGGCCCACATGGCTGGTGACAGAAGCATGACACCTCTTCCAAAGCTGTCCACCAGCCCCACTAGGGGCTCCTACTCATGGCAAGGAAGCCGACTTTCCCATGAGCCCACAACTGTCAACTAATACTAAGCTACCTCCTCCCAAAGCAAACTACACACATACAATTTAAGAACCTATTATCAGAACAGCAGTGCAGCAGACCCTGGTCTTGGTCTCTGAAAGTCCTGTGTCACTGGCTGTAAGGACGCTTGGCCACAGGTTCCTCCTTCTCTCGCTTCAGCCATTGCTCTAGGAGTCCTGCAGTGCCTCTCTTGGTGGGGAGTGAACTCTTCTGCAGGAACTGGCTGGACCACTGGGCAACATCTGACTCTTCCTTTTGGGGTGTTTTTGAGTCTTCCTTTTTGGGTGACTTTGTGGCCAGCCACTGCAACATCCTCTGGCTACTGCCACTTGCCTTGAGCTCCTAGGAGAAGGAGGAAAAAAAGCTCAAACCATTCAGCTCAAGTTTTTGGGAAAAGGTGAAGTCCAAGGGAAGAAACAGGGGAAGAGCCATTAGGTACTGACCCAGGCTTGGAAAATGTTATTAAGGGCCAGCTGGGGCCCACCAGTCAAGAGTGGGAAGAGAGGAGTGAATTCTAAAGGGCAGGAAAGTAGCTCTTAGAGAAGGTTTCACAGAGGAGTGTGTGGGACCAGACAAAGACGCTGAAAGGCATTCCAAATGTGCAGAGAATGAAGCATTCTCCAGGAAAAGAATGTAATTCAGCATGACCCGGGGGGAATGTTGGAAAATGAGACTGGAGCAATATGGAAGAACTTCCAGCAGCCACTGTGATGAGGCTAAATCGTTTCCTCTTTGTGCAGACAATCTGGACAATCTTTTGACCGTCACTACTCCCTTCTGCTTCCTGTATATCCTGAACCAATCCTGAACCGAAAGGTTCTGAATTAGCACAATGCCACCTCTCCAGAATGTGACATCTTTTATAGTAAGTACCATGGCAGGGCTAGGTGGAGTGGTGCATGCCTGTAATCCAGCATTTTGGGAGGCTGAGGTGGGAGGACTGCTCGAGCCCAGGAGTTTGAGACCAGCCTAGAAAACATAGGAAGACCCTATCTCTATTTAAAAAAAAAAAAAAAAAGAGCAGGGCATGGTGGTACACGCTTGTAGTCCCAGCTACATGGGAGGCTGAGGTGGGAGGATCATTTGAGCCCAGGAGTTTGAGGCTACAATGAACTATGATCATGCCACTGCAGTCTAGCCTGAGCGACAGAGCATGACCCCATCTCTTAAAAAAAAAAAAAAAGACCATGGTAGAAATGGGGCAGTGTCTAGTCCAAAATGAATATAGGTTGAGCATCCTAACTCTGAAAATCCAAGATCCAAAATGCTCCAAAATCCTAAACTTTTTGAGTGCTTACATGATTCTGAAAGGAAATGCTGATTTGGGATACTCAACTAGGAAGTATATAACGCAAATCTTCCAAAATTTGAAAAAATCAAAAATCTAAAACACTTCTGGTCCCAAGCATTTTGGATAAGGAATATTCAACTGTATATATAATTAGTTTTAGAGTTATCTAATTTTTAAAAAGTGCCACCATTGCAGGAGTTTATCAGAATCAAGACAAAAGAAAAAAAGATGACACTGACTGTGGGTATGGAAAAAACTTGAGAGGGGGAGCAGCTGTTCTTGCAATCATCCTTAACACAGCATTCTAAAATGTCTATTCTTGGAAGATTCCAAGTATGTCCTACTTCAAGTTCCTCTATGCCACCTAACAACAATCACTACTCCTAAACCCTTACCCTCAAATGTCAGTGGGGGCCAGCTTTTTGCTCTGGAACTTCTCTTCCCACTGCAAGCCTGCTTATTTGCCTTCCCTCCCTAAAATACACCCTCTGGATCCTTGCTAATTCTAAGTTAAGGTTCATGGTAGGAATGCTGTCAAGTCCTCCCGAAGGAAACTAAGGACTGGACCTCCTCCAACTAGTAGTTGGGAAAGCAAAGATACAGAAAAGAAACACCAAAAATCAGTTGGGGATGGAGCCATAATATGGTCAAGGGCTCCTCTGTCTTTCTCACAATCACTGTCTAGATTAGGAGTCCTCAAACTTGGTTTATCAGCCTCACCAAAGAAGCTTTTTTTTTCCCCCCCTTTTTGTGGAGAATGGGGTCTCACTACATTGCCCAGGCAGGTCCGAACTCTTGGGGTAAAGCTACCCTCGCACCTCTGCCTTCTAAGTGCTGGGATTACAGGCATGAGCCACTGCACCCAGTTGAAGCTTCTAAATTATACAGAAGCCCAAGTCTAGCTCTAACTGTTGATTCAGAATGTCTGGATAGGGTCCAGCATTTACATTTTGAAAGAGTTCTCCTCCTGGGGTCTCTGAGTCACAGCTAGGTTTGAGAATCACTGCTCTACACTACCTTGCTGTGTACAAGGAGTATGAGAGCTTTTGATGGTCCAAATTAAAGGGATGATCATAAAAGGCCACATCCTAAAAGGAAGGGCATACTGACAGAAGACAGAAAGCTCAAAAAGGACTGTACCAGTCACAGGCCCCTACCTTTTTGACCACCAAGTTAACAGGAGCCAGACACTCAGGAGAGTTGTTTCGTGAGTTGTTCACCACAGAAGAGACTGGATGGAAGGTGATGTTCTCTGTTGGGTGGATTAATTTCAGAGCTTCCCGAGTTGAGACTTCACCAAAGTCAAGCCATTTAGAAACTGCCTCCTCCCCATCTAATATGGCAGGCATCCTGGCCAGGGAAGTCAAGACAATGGTTGGGAGAGGCAGTGTGAGAATAAGCAGAGAAGGGAGAGAGACTTGAGTCAGCTGATAGCTCAAATATCATAAGGGGAGCTTGCCCTACCTCTGCGCCTCATATGCTAATTGCTGCCACGTGCTCTCTGAGCACAGGCTGACAGGACACCAGATTCAACACTTGAAAAGCCGGGTTATAAAGTTTCATGGCAAAGACAGTGAAGAAAGAGTATATGACTGGTCTAGAGTACTCCAGTGTCCACTCTAGCAAATCGGTAAACTTTCTATGACACCACAGCCTATAATGAAGGGAAAATACATCTTGAACACTTGTCTATCAACAGCAATCTCAAACCTCACCACTTCTAAAAGACTTATAATAAGAAAATTGTGAACCAAAGCAAACCATGAGTCAGAAAAGCAGAGAAGCTGTCAAACATGACTCCTGGTACCCAGAAGATATAAGGAAAATATACTAGGTTTAGCTTCCAGTTTTATGTTCCAGGTCAATGCAAAGTGTGGCACACACTTTATTGGGTGGTACCAGATACAGACAAATGTTGATTTGTCTCCTAAATATATATACAACATATAAAATAATGTTAAATACTGTAATGTATAAAATAATGGCACATTTTTAAATGAACGGTGATTCAGATTAAATGAAATAGAATTTTTAAAAATTAATTACTGGAAGAGAACTACTATTATCACATGAAAGCATATTTTCACAGATATAGCCTAGGACAAGGCTAACGCAGGTAATACTGACAGGTGTCACACTGCATTCTTTTCAGGAGAACTCCAAAAAATCACTTCAGGGAGTACTCAGCTCTGGCAGAAATTATAAAGGTACAATACAAGTAAAGTCAGTTCTGCCAATGCTTGTGTTTAAAATGCAAATCTGTTCCAATGCAACTGATATATTGGAGAGAAATTGGAGCACAATGCAAATTTTGTGTTTGCTTTTGCACAATTTCATCTGTAAGAAACACAAAGTGAACACAGAAAATTGCACCCAGCTGAACTGTGCCTTGCAGAACTGCACAAAATGCACACATCTCAAACAATGACCACTATACTTTGGCTCACTGCATACTATTTTACAAAATTGTTTTTTACTATTCTTTTGCCTTTCTGAACTTTTTTCTCTATATAAAAAGACACCCATTTAACATCTCAAACATGCCTAAGCTTCCTGGCTCAAAACATGGTAGACAGTGCATGTGAATGGAGACATTTTAAATATTGAAGAGAAGTTTGAAATAGTAAAGGATCCTGAAAGAAAAATGAGAACATGTGACTATTTCCTGAGCAAGGGATATCAAGGGGTCCACATCAGTGATAATGCTACAAAAAAAAAAAAAAAAAAAAAAAA